TATTATTATTATTATTATTATTATTATTATTATTATTATTATTATTATTATTATTATTATTATTATTATTATTATTATTATTATTATTATTATTATTATTATTATTATTATTATTATTATTATTATTATTATTATTATTATTATTATTAATTATTAGTGGTAGTATTGATTTAAATTTATTTATGTCTACCTTTATCGTTGACAATTTCATGGACCCAATTTCAAAACTGAGATATGATGTTGATATATTTGTCCAATCATGTTACCTAACTTTGTTCAAACAAAATGGGAAGTTAATTAATCCATTCTACATTACCCAAACAAAGTGGGGAGTTAAATTACTCGAACAAACGGGAAGTTAATTTATCCATTTTATATTATTCAAAAAGAAAAAAACGGGAAATTAAATTACCCGAACGAAATGGGAAATTAAATTACTTAAACAAAGCGGGGAATTAAATTATTCGGAACAAAACGGGAAGCTAATTTATCCATTTTATATTACCCATACAAAACGGGAAGTTAAATTACCTAAGCAAGACGGGAAGATAAATTACCCGAACAAAACGGGAAATCAAATCATCCGAACAAAATAGGAAATCAAATCACCCAAACAGAACGGGAAGTTAAAGTGCCCGAACAAAATGGGAAGTTAAATTATGCAAAAAAAACAGGAAGTTAAATTACCTAAACAAAACGGGAAGTTAAATTACGCAAAGCAAACAGGAGGGTAAATTACCTAAATAAGACGGGAAGGTAAATTACGCAAACAAAACAGGAAGGTAAATTACCTGAAGAAAACGGAAGTTAAAGTGCATGAACAGAACGGGAAGTTAAATTACCCGAACAAAACGGGAATCTCAGTATTTCCCGAGACCCATTAACTTATTCATTTGTGTGAAGGAAAGAAAAAATGAGGACATGGTGAGAGGGAGAGGAAGAAAAAAATAAAGGGACAAGCCTGAAATCATTTAATCCTTCTTGTTCAAATAAAAGAAAATAAAAAGTGGAGAGGAATGTACTCTTGTTAAATAACAGAAGCAAATAGGCCATTAAAATGCCTTCTTCACTTTTTTTGTAGAGAGAGAGAGAGAGAGAGAAAGAGAGAGAGGAATTTGAAATGATTGATGGAAGTCTTAAGAGATTAGTAATGAATTG